AAGACAGGGCAAAGGCATTGAAGCCTTTTTTTTTTTTTTTGCTAGAAAGCAAAAGGGACACATTGACGATTTGGTACCCACACTTTACAAAGGACACTCTCCTCTCCTAAAATTCAGAAAACCCTAAAAGCAAAAGAGCAAAACCCCAACTGGGTTTCATCATCATAAATCTCCTCCCCAAAGTCACAAACTTTACCAGCCAAAAATATCTGGAGAGCTTTTTCTTGCGGTAAAGTTTCTTCCTTTTTCTCCCTGAAAAAACCCGATTCCTCCGTTTCGATTTCATATATTTATACAAGGAATCGAATAGAGTATCCGGTTTTCAGATATCCGAGGCGTCTTCGTAGTAGTAAGGGGTCAATTTCCCGTCCTTTTCCGACACCCTGAGATGGGTCTCGCCGCTTATTTCTTGCAGCATTTTCACGACCCTTCTCATGGAGGGTCGGTTGATCGGTAAGGGGCTCGTGCAGAGGAGTCCGATGTTCAGGGCTTTGCTTATATCTTCCTTGAAACAAGGCTCGAGTTTCGGGTCTATGACGTGATCTATGCCCTTTTGGTCCAATGTGGTGCATACCCACTTGACCAGATCCTTCTCCCCCAGCTCGGGATCCATCGGACGTTTCCTAGTTACTATCTCTAAGATCACAACCCCGAAACTGAATATGTCGCTCTTCTCGTTCACCCGGAGCGTGTAAGCATATTCTGCAATAAGATTGAAGAAGATCGGTTATGTAGGGACAATTCAAATTTCAAGGCTGGCGTATTAATGGAGACAGAACATGTGGGGAGCCATTGCTGTGGTCCAGACAATAATGGGAGTGAATGCCAATTTAAGTACCCTCAACTAAATCTGAAAACTTTGTTATTATTTACTATCTGGGTGATAAAAATGTGGATCATGTTCAATTATTGACGAATCCTGCAGCAAGATAACATTTTTTTTACCAGTAATAACCAGACACAGATGAATGAATCATGGACTGACGACTAACCTGGTGCGATATAACCGCACGAGCCAGCGATGATCGACATGGATTTGGGTGCCTTCCCGGTCAAGTCAACGACTTTGGCCACGCCGAAATCTGCGACTCTTGCCCCGTAATCTCCATCGATCAAAATGTTGTTGGACTTAACGTCTCTATGAACAATCGGAGGAACGCAATCATGGTGAAGATAAGACAGCCCCTCGGCTGCATCCAAGATAATCTTGTACCTTGTCTGCCAACCCAACAATCCTCCTTTACTGCTGTGCAGCAAATCGCCCAAGCTTCCATTGGGCATGTACTCGTAGACCAAGAGCTTGCAATCTCTCGTGGAACAGCAGCACCAGAGCTTGACGATGTTCTTATGTCTGATCTTACCCAATGTCTTGACCTCGGTTTCAAAGGCATCATCTCGGGGTTGAGGGTTTTGGCCTTTCTCTGGATCACAACTTTCAGTTTCCTTTATGGATCTTGTCCACAATCTCTTGACAGCAACAACCTCGCCACTGCTAAGGACAACCTTGTACACTTTACCGGAAGATCCAGCTCCGATCAGATTGTCTTCGGCCAAGCTTTCGAGAATCTCGTTTTCTCTGAAACCCAGTTTGTGGAACGACATTAACGTCCATTTCGATTTCTCCACGGATCTTGATTCCTTGAAAGTTTTGTACTTGAAGTAGAACCAAACAATTCCGACGAGAAACACAAGGGCTGCAAGTATGAAAATTGACCGGAGAAGCCATAGATAGCCTTTGTTCTTTGCTTCCTTCTTGCTGCCACACAATCCCTCCAAATCGCTGCACAAGCCGGGATTTCCCAGGAAGCTGTTCTTATACATTTCTTTTGCCAACAGAGGAGGAACCTCACCCGATAACCGGTTATTCGACAAATTCAGCCGGTTTAGCTTCAAACTCTGTAAGGAGAGTGGGATTTCACCAGAAAACAGATTATCAGAGAGATCGAGATAGTTCAGGACAGATAAACTCCCGATCTCAACTGGGATTCTGCCGGAAAATTTGTTGCTGGCTAAGTTCAACTCGTTCAGCATCTTCCAGGACTTGATTCCACGCGGTAACTCCCCTGAAAACTGGTTTCCATGAAGATCAAGAATACTCAATTCTCCAAGTTTCACCATGGAACCAGGCAACGAGCCACTGAACTTGTTGTCGCCGGCCAACAACTGATTAAGTTTGCCCAAGAACCCGATTTCCTCCGGCAACGAGCCATTGAACTCATTGTTCGATATAATCAACAGGGAGAGATTAGATGCACCTGTGACAGTCTTGGCGATCTCGCCGGAAAACGAGTTGTTGACGAGCTCAAGCAAGTAAACATGAGGCAATCCCCATAATCCGGAAGGGACTGGACCCGAGAACCGGTTGTGTCCTAACCGGACACGGGACAAGCTCCGGCAATCGCCAAGACCGTTTGGTATTCGTCCGGAGAACGAGTTATGTATCATCAGTAACTCCTCTAACTCACCATTCTCGCAGAGACTCGCCGGTAACTCGCCGGTAAACCCATTTTCCGACACGTCAAGCCACTTCAACGGCGAATTTTTGCCGAGGTCTCTGGGTAAATCGCCGGTGAGGCGGTTACCAAAGATCCTGAGCTCGTACAAGTTCGGAGAAAGTGCTATGCTCGATGGGAGCTCACCATCAAGATCGTTCTCGTAGAGATTCAAGCTCTCCAATGGAACCCGGCAAAGCTCGTCAGGTATTGACCCAGTCAAACGGTTCATCGACGCGTCCAGGAGTCTCAGCGACTTCAGATTCCCGAGCTCCGGCGGGATATTTCCGGTCAGCGAGTTGTTGTAGAGCTCAATCTGGACGACACGAGTCAACCCGGCGAGCGAACTCGGGATAGGACCCTCCAGGTTGTTCAGCGCGAGGTCCAAATCAATGAGATGACCGAGTCGACCGAGCGAGTCGGGGATCTTGCCGACCAGATTACACTCAGTGAGCCACAGAACCTCGAGATTCGTCAGGTTCCCGAGTTCCGGCGGGATCCGACCAGGATTAAATGGGTTGTACGACAGGTTCAGCATCTTCAGCGAGCTGATGTTTCCGAGAAACGGCGGAATCGTCCCGTCCAACAGATTGTACACCAGAGATAGAACCTCGAGCTTCTGAAACCCACCGAAACTCGCCGGTATGTCGCCGGAGAAGTTGTTCCCAGTCAAATCAAGGTACCTCAAGTTGGGAAGGTCAGCGAGCGTGACCGGAAGGCCACCGGTGAGGAGATTCTGGGAGAGATCGAGATGCTCGAGGCTCCGACACGCCGCGACATCGACAGGAAGAGTCGAAGCTATGGAGTTGTTGAACAAGGACAGGAACGAGAGTGTCGGGAGACGGCAAATGTCGGAAGGGAAAGGTCCGGCGAGGTTGGAGCTGGAGAGGTCGACGGAGGTGACGGCGGAACCGCCATCGCCGCCGCAGGAGATTCCAGACCACCGACAAGGAGAGGCATCGTTAGGGTTCCAGGAGGAGAGAGAAGAGTCTGGGTCGTGGAGAGAGAGCTTCACCTTCTGGAGAATGAGACCCTCTTGGTTGAGAGAGATGGCGACAGGGAAAAGGAAGAAGAGAAGGAGAAAATTCATGTTCTTTTCCACAAGAATGGCCACTCTCCGGCGGCGGCGGACTGTGGCGGAGAGAGAGAGAGAGAGAGAGAGAGAGAGAGAGAAGAGAGTGTGTTTAGGCTGAGACAGACTAGATTTTGTTTTCTTTTTACGGAGAAATTATTGGAACTGTGAAAGGCAAAATATCATTTTAGTTTTTTTTTTTTGTAATTTTATAATTCGTTTTGGAATAAATATGCTCAATACTATACAATATTCATATTATTAAATAATTAAAATTAAAAATATCATTTTTATGTATAATTATTAAAAGTTTTATTACTTTATTTTTATATAAATTTGTGATTTTAATTAGTTATTCAACTATATATTCTCATATTAGAAAAAACGAATCTCAATTGAAAAAAATATAAGAAAAAAGAATTGAAATATATTATTTTATAAAACGTCTTTTTTCTATTAACTTTATTATATTATATTTAATATAATTAAATTTATGTATTTATCCAATTTTAATATATTTAATATAAACACTAATTTTTTAAATTAAATATTATATCTGCAAAATGGCTTAGGAAACTCAGACTCTTAAAGAATTAGTTATTAATATCTAATCAAAGTTTTCTTAATCAATAACCATATCCATTTAATTACAGTCTTGCTAATTTGTCCAATTTAGTACTTTTCGAATATTCGAATCTATCATTAATCTATTACCAATATTTTTAATCACAAAATGAGATACAATTATGTTTTATTATTGAAAAATAGATAATTATGTTTATTACTAACTCTAAAATAGATATATTGTATAAGGTAGGGGTGGACGTTTCGGAAAACGATTCGGGTTCGGGACGGAATAAATCGGTTCGGTTCTTTCGGTTTTTACAAAAATAGGTATCAATCGGGTTATTTATTGTATTCGGTTCGGTTCGATTTCGGTATCGGTTCGGTTCGGTTCTGGATTTTATTAAATAAATGATAGATTTTCTTTAAAAATATTCGGTTTTTCGGGATTTTTAAAATTCGGTTCGGTTCAGTTCGGTTCCAGTAAAATTCGGTTCTCTAAAAATGGTACCGTTCGGAAAATAACAGCGGTTTCGAGTCGAGAAAAATACCGTTTTAACGGTTCGATTCGGTCCGGTTCCGAAGAACCGAACCGAAACGCCCAGCCCTAGTATAAGGTATACGATTAAATTGTACATACTAATCGAATAATATTTATTTCTATTCAAAATCAAACATTTTGAAATTTATAATTTTCTAAATTAAATTAATCAATTTCATATTAAAATTTAAAATCCAACCCAATATAAGAGCTATATATTTAAAGAAATAATTTTTATAATAACATATTTTAATATGAATCGAATTTCAATAAAATTGGACCAAAAAATCTAATATAATAACAGTTACAATGCTTATTAAATCAAAATTAAATCTTAAAGACAACAATTAATAAGTATGATAATGTAATTAACAACTGAACTGATTCCAGAATCAAAATTACAACTGAAAATTTCCGTATACATTAAATGAAGAGTTAGTGTTTTCTGATATAAAATAAATGATACCATACTTCCAACCACTAATGCAATAATAATAAATGTGATTTATGAGATTTGTTGGTATTGTCATGAAGAATACTGATTATTCAATCATCATTATTATTATTATTATTATTGAAAATGCATAAATTTAATTAGTTTTTTAACCCCATGCTTAAGATGTGGGGTAATATGCCATATGTTACCTCAGTAATTCCTCTTCCATGCAGTAATTACTAGAAATGGTACCATTTGCCCATCTCATGAATTATTCATCCTTTCTATTTTTTTTGGGTCCACCACCAAATTATAAGATATAAATACAATTTAATATTTGGCATAGCTATTTAATATTCAAAATTAATAGTATGCCGAAGGCTGAAATTATTTTAGAAAATAAATATTTATGATAAAAGTGTAATCTAAATAAAATTTGAATACAAGGGTAGAATGAATTTAACTTAATATATATATATATAATAGAAAAGAAATTGAACCAAAAATACAGCACAGTTCAAAAAGCATACAATTACAAACATAAATATACCCTTGAAAAGATAGGTTATGAAATAAATGCAATAAAAACATAACTACTTTTTTTTTATGGGAAATGAATAAACTTTATTTAAATTATTAAAATATAAACCTGCATGATGCTTTTTCGAGCACAATAATTTCATATTCGTCACGTTTTTGGTTATAATTATTTTTCTTCCGGAAATTCAGAATTTTCACGGGAAAATGGCGCAAAAAGGCTTCTGGAGACAGATGACAAAAAGGCCAAAGTTCGAAACATCGCGTCGTCCGTCTCATCATCATCGGGGCTGATGACAAAACGGCATGCAATCTCCTTATCTATTTTCAAAACAACAAAACATCTTGTTATTGCTTTTGTCGTCTCGTTGTGCGTGAGCCCGATTTGCGTGAGCGTTGTGTCACGCGCAAAACACTTTGACTTTTACTATTTAACTTCGTATCCGAAAATTCTATAATTGTTACCGCTAGGATTTGTATTTTTATTAATTAATCGAAAATTTTGAAAAAAATAAATTTAATATTTTTAAATCAAATTTAATCTCAATCCATGAAAAATTCAAAATTTTAATATAAAATTTCATTACATATCATCAATAATTATTAAAAGAAATTCTATAAAAATACTGTATTTATTTAAATATGTCATATAAATGTACTTCAATTTTAAATTGAAAAATAAATATCGGTCAATTTGTACCAATTTGTACCATCAATTTGGTACAAATTATGCCATTTTAATGATATCATCACTTTGGTATCTATTTGGCTAAATTGATCAAATCAAAATATTTAGTTAGCAATTTAGAAACTAGAATATTTATTTGACATCTTGAAATAAACCACATAATGTTTATAGAATTTTTCTTTATTAAAATTTTAAAAATTAGATTGAAAAAAATCTTAAATCAAATATTATATATATGAAAGATAATTCAAAATTTGATTTGATGTGAATAGTTTAAAAAATAAATGATAGAATATAAAATAAAATAATTTTAAAAAATTAAACACAATATAATGTTTAAAAATAAATATTTTTTATCAAAAAATATAATAAAAAAATAAGGAACAAAATGAATCTAGTATAAAATTTAATAAATATATTAAATTAAACATAAATAAATAACAAATCACTCTAAGATAGATCTGAATTTTAAAATATGATTCTCTAATTTGGAACATTGAGAGATTTCTTTTCTAGTCGAAAAGTTCATATGAGTTGGAGTTGGTTGGAAAATATTAATATCGTGGGCCAAAATAATAAAACCTATATAGTAAATTTGTCGGTTAGATGGTACATGTTTTTTAATTACAAAATAACAAAATTTATGACAGTACTTGAAAAGTGTTGTCGTCTTCAATAAATAATTTTTGTTTTGTTTTTGTTATCATGGAAACCAACATTTTAATAGTCAAATTGAAATGTCTATACACTAGATGATTAAAAACATTGATCAAACCTTAATGTAACTATGTATGGTTATGAAGCTTTTCGATTTGATACATTAATGCATAAATGCATTCGCATCATCTTTGACTTCTGTGTATTAATTTGATAATTAACCTAATTATACTATCACCAACTGACATTATAACAAAAATATCATGCGTATGCTATTTTGATTTCAAATTATATCATTTTCTAACTCTAACCATGTGATCAAAATTATATTGCGATCATATGTGGTCATATTGGTCACAAAATTAAATTTATAATAGTTTTATCAAATTTTTAGTATAATATATAAGGGATGAATATGGTGAATTAGTGTGATCACCATAAATTTAACGTTATGACCAATTTGACCACTATATGATAAGACTGTGATTCTTGTGACATGGTAATAGTTGAAGAAATGTATGAGTTGAAATCAAAATAGTATATAGAATTTATTTTTATAATGACATATCTAATTTAACCATAACAAAATTACTTTATTTATTTATATTGTCTTATTTATTTATTTATTTTTCTCATATTATGATGAGATGTTGAAGAGTCCTAATGTGTAATGCATTTCTTTCTTTCTTTCTTTTTTATAAAAATGCATTTTTTTTAGAAAAAAAAAAACTATTAGAAAATAATCCAAATAGGTTAAATTATATCTTCCCCGTATTTTCTTTTAGAATTATACGGATAATATGGATTAAGAATCGATGTGATGATTTAAATTTAGTTGTTATAAAGATTTCGGTCAAATTAGATTTTTAAAAAAAAGAGAGAGATTTCGGTCAAATTCATTTGGGTAAGGTACGAAACAAATGATTTTTGTCCCAATGTGTTTCTCTATAAATAAAATATATATTTAAATGCAATACATGTAACTCCTTTTACATTATGATGTATTATTTTTTTTAAAATAATATATATTGTATATAGTTTTTCTATTGATCTAGTTGCGGGTACTAGATGCTCCAAATTATATTTTCTATATATTATTTGTAAAAATGTTATATTAAATTAAAAGTTTTGATAAAAATTTATATGATTTTCATATAAATAACCTTCACATTTGAAGTATCAAAATTAACATATCTAAAAGTTGGGTTCGATTCCACTCTCCAGCGAGTCTGTTATTCTTTGGTTGGTTTACCTGTTCTACGTGGTTTGCAGGCTATTACGTGGAACCAGAGGGTTTATCACTGCACCTGAACACCTGTGGTTGGGTTCCCGCCGTTACAAAAAAAAAAAACATATCTAAAAGTTACATATTCGAAATCAACTTCTAAATTCTAAATAAATCGAAAGAGAATTTATGAGAAAATAAATTAAATGACACGCGCAACTCTTCAAAGGCAGATTTTGGTCTCCTGTCCAAACATTCACACTTTTACAGCAAAAAAACAGAATGTAATATAAAATTTTACTTTTACTGTTTTACCTCGAAGTTAGTAAAAACGTGAAACTCCCATTTTCTTTTAATTTTCTCAGAGCAGGGAAGTTCAAAAATTGTACAGCAAAAATATCGACTATATTAAAATTTTCAACAGTTTATTTCTATTTTTTTACGTTTTGTTTAAATATAATATTTTATT